CGCCTTCGCGTGCGCGTGCGCCCAGGTTCCCGGAAACGCCACGGCCGCTCCGCCCCGGCCCGCGCAGCCGGAGTCACGGATGAGAAGACCCAGCGGTCCCGGGGCGTCGAGGCTGGGTTCGACGGAGTAGAGCTGGCCTGCGGAGGCTTTCCTTGCCTAGTAGAGGGAACGAAACTCCTAGGGCGCGCGTCCCGCCTCGGCTCGGCCAGTAAAGCCGCCAGGCCCCGCCCGATCCTTCCATCTAGTGACCTCCGCCTGGCACTCGAGCCCAGGTAGCGTCCGGCCCTACCAGGCAACCTTTGCCTGGACTTTGCCAGGGGAAAGCCAGTAAAATCCAAATAAAGCACGGAGCATAGTCACTACTACTGTTCGACGTTGCCTTTTTACTTCTGCCAAACGTGACCAATAAAAGTAAGATGTTGATATAGGGAGAATTTGATGACGAGTACACGGGAATTCTCTACTACATTCGCAACTTTTCAGTGTATTTTTCTAAAATTACGTTGTTTGAAAAGGAAGGGGGGAAGGGGGGGCCTGGAAATAGTTGGATCCAGATTTGGACCTATGATTCATGCCGTCATCAAGGATCAAGGCTCTCTCTAATTTTCATCTGTTAGTTTGCTTCCTCATGGTGTCAAGACAGTTTTGCTGCAGCTCCAAGTATCACATTCTCACACAGATGCGTTCGAGATAGAAAAGGATCAGATGAAACAAGTGTTTTCCTTTTATGAGGGAGGAGAATAATACCTACTCCCATTTCAACATGGGAATTGACAAAGATGCTGTCCTCAGCACTCTCCAGCCAGGCTGTTCTGGGGCTTCTCAACTAGACCTCAGCCCTGACCTATAAAACGTACAAACTCAGCCCAACTGATTTCATCCACTCCCCCCCACACACATATTAAAACACTTAACATCATATTTTTAAAAAGCGAACACAGAGTTTCTTCTTAAAAAATATTTTTTTAATGTGTACTTATTTTTGAGTGAGACTGAGTGTAAGCAGGGGAGGGGCAGAGACAGAAGGAGACACAGAATCCAAAGCAGGCTCCAGGCTCCGGGCTGTCAGCACAGAGCGTGAGGCGGGCTCGAACTCACGAACTGTGAGATCATGACCTGAGCCAAAGGCAGACACTTGGCAGACCAAGCAACCCAGGTGTCCCTAACATGCTTTTCAACAGCTCAAGCCACATCCCTGAATGACCCTAGCCCTCTATACCTGCCAAAAGAATTTACTATTTGTTCTAACCAACAATTGATCATAGGCCCTTCACCACCCTTTCTTAGAGGATTTACTAAAAAGGATTCACGATTTGCGGGTCCTTCCTTTGTCCGTTTGAGGTAGGTATCTATCTCCTACAACCGAGTCGTGTCTTTCTCAAGCACTGGAAAGCCCTTCCTTTGAAATGTAATCATCAGAAAAGATAGGGCCTCGGTCTCCCAGACTCTGTGTGGCACATACAGCTCGCCTCATGGCATTTACACGACCCACTCTGGGTAATTTTTCACTTCCCTGACTCTACCCAAGCCCCTCCATTCCCCATCTCTACACCCTTATTCACCCTTTAAAACACTCAGCCACCTCTGTACAAATCCAAGTTGAGTTCAGTTCACGCTGGACCCAATTCTCTATTTCAGCAGTATATTACTGATTAAAATCTGCCAAGTCTAAGGGAAATCACAGCACTTTTCATCCAGAGCAACCTTTGGTTTCTCGGACTCCTCGGATTATTTCCAGGTTGTCACACGGTTTCTCTGGGATTGGACTTTAGGGCAGTTGGGTGAGTTTTTAATACAGGATTAAATAAACAAGAAAATGGCACCACAAATTGGTGAACACAGATCCCATGGGTGCACCTTTCACCCACCCTCCCCAGATGGTGCCATCTTACAACATTCTACAACATCATCAGATGAGGACATTGTCATTGGCACAATACTACTAACTAGAGGCCAATTTTACACAAAATTCACCAGATTTCACGTGCACTCTTCTTGTATATGTCAGTCTGTGGAATTTGGCCACACGGCTGCTATTATGCTTCTCTTTCTCCCGAGAAGCAAATGATCCGACACCGTTTCACATTCAAGCAGAAGTGATGATGAAAATAAACTTCTTTGGTAGCCGAGGCATGTGCACAAAACCGCTGCCTCCAATGAAACCCCAAGGTGGGTGTGATGCTGGGCCCGAGTGGTGGTATTTCCGGCATGATCTAGCAAGTGCCTTCCATTTCGGTCCACTCACATTCGTATAGGATAGGGCTGCACAGGTCCCAAACGAGCTGGTGTCTCAATACTACACACACAGTACAGCTACATTCACTGTCTCCCCAGTTTTGCCAGATGGGGAAAGGCACAATATACTCCATTGTGCCCTTAGGAATTCTGACTAAAGTTTTAAAGCTATGGTGCCAGATTCTTGCCCAGAGATAAGCCTTGCTTCCCGTGTCCACAGTTGCAGCTCTGGTCCCGGGACCACTGTATGAGTTAGAAGCAAAGGAAGTTGGGAGGATGTAGGGAAGAATTGTATACTCAGTTCGGTATTCCCCCCCCCTCCCCACCCCCTGTCCCCCACACTCCCCAGCGAAGCCGAAAACTCTGTCCAGTGAGGGATCTCCCTCGGCCCCGCTCATGTTGAGTGTGAATCCTTGCTCGTGAACGTGTGTGAGCCCTACATACCCTTGCCTCCTGTTTGACACAACCAAGGTTTCAGATGCCTGTTACAGTTCTCTGTGGAACCACTTCTCTGCAGGTGAAAATGTGTTGCTTGGCCTGCAGAAACGTATCTCGTCAGCGCAAATTGTTCCCGTATCTTCTGCTCTCCTCTCGCTCTACACCGGCATCTTCTGCGTACACAAACCCACGTCCAGAAATAGTGTGTTGTCTGGACCATTAGTAGCCTCCCAGGCTATGACCTTCACCCAACTGGCCAGCTGTGGATAATCTCTCCCATAACCTTCTACAACCTTGGTCTGTCTTACAGAGAAACATAAGGGTCCTCGGCAATTTTTTTGCCTCAGAGGGTGCAAGCGTCCCTGTCCACAATTATCCCATCTCTGCATTGCTGGCTCTCCCCCACCTCCACGCATGTCATGGATTCGCCTGCCACTTCCCACAGACACACTGGAATAGCCACCTGCTTGGCCCAGTCCCATTCCAGTCCTGGAAGCAGTTCTAATGATGAGCACTGGCGTGTCCTAGGCTAATCCTTCCCCTTCATTCCCATTGTGACTTCCACAGGGCCACGCCCAGTATTGGCACCCTTCAATCCCCAGCTTTCCACTGCCTCTCCCCATGACCATATTCTCAGGCCATAACATTATGGACACGCAAGTTAGAGACCCAAACAGACAGAAATCACCGTGCAAGTCAGGCCACTCTACTAATTTGCTTTTACCATCCTTGAGCAGAGTAGATGTAGCTGCCCTCCTTAAACCAGTCAGCTCTTTGTTGGTCGGTAGAGATCTGTTTGTAGAGCATGGCCCACGCGACCATGAAATCCTCGGGTGGTCCCAGAGGTGGCCTTGAGGGGAAAGAGGTACTCCGCTCATGAAGGCAGTGAGTGTCCTTTATATTCTCCTTAGCCTGTTCTTGTAGGAGCCATTTCCGATTTCCTGTGGAGCATCTGCTTGGTGCCCTCCCCACCGGAGCATTTCTCAGGCATCATCGGAGACATTATGGGTATAACAAGTTAAGGACCATCCTGTCCTTGACTCATGCAGGCAGTCTTCATTAATGCTCACAGCAAACTCATGATACTTCAGTGGAAATTTTCTAGTACCAAATCTTAGCGAAACTGGAATTCATCTTTCTTTGTCCTTCTCCATAACATTTTGTGTTGTAATTTAGGCAGATTGGTCGATGTGTGAGCATAGTCAGCCTCAGATCGCTTAAAAACTGCAGCCCAGGACTGCAGCAGAAGTTCAGGAGTGAAACCATCACAGAGGAGGAGCTGGTGGGGCTCATGAACAAGTTCGTGGAAGACACAAAGAACAGGATGTACAGGAAGGAGGGCTGGCCTGATACTGCATATGGAGTGACAAAAATTGGTGTCACGGTCCTGTCCAGAATCCATGCCAGGAAACTGAGTGAGCAGAGGAGAGGGGACGAGATCCTCCTGAATGCCTGCTGCCCTGGCAGGGTGGGTGAGATCAGACATGGCTGGACCTAAAGCCTCTAAAAACCCAAAAGAAGGAGAGAGACCCTCATCTCCTTGCCCGTTTGCCCTCTGATGCTGAAGGGCCTCATGGGAAGTTTATTAAACAGAAAAAAAGTTCAGCAGTGGAGAGCTGAATTCACACCTCCATCCATGGGCCCCTCTGTGATACCCCCTCCCTTGCCCAAAAGGACTCTTTCAATGTCAATAGTATCCCTATCCAAAGTGTGAAATATCCCTACTAGTATTTAATTTCAGTAGGTTGCTAATTCTATAGAGGATTTATTTTTATTTTTATTTTTATTTATTTATTTTTTTCAAATATGAAATTTATTGTCAAATTGCTTTCCATGCAACACCCAGTGCTCATCCCAACAGGTGTCCTCCTCCATAACCAAT